AAATAAGAAACGTACAATTTTTAATATTGACATAAGGATTTGTGAAATACAACAGATTAGAAAATGCACAATGCAATTTATGCCTTTTTTTTTTTTTGCGGGGAGTGCATGTCCACATTGTACTTAATTAACTTATAGTTAAATATGAAAGCACCAGTGAGGCAAAATCCTGTCATCGTGTGTAGGTCACGTAGACCAAAAAACCAAAATAATGGAGATTGTGGCATTCATAAACTCGTGAAATACCCGTAAACATTATTTCTCTATATTTTGCACGCTTTTCTTTCGGTGTTTCTCTCATCGGGATACTACTGGAGTAAATTTATACAAGTCAGAACACATTTCCAAAGGCCGCCGGTGTTTTGAGCAGTGAGTGTTTTTAATTCATTGCTTGATTATTCATACATTTGAGAAATGATATTTATAAAGTGGAAAATAGATGCACATTGCGGTTAAGATGTGCCAATAATGTTTTTTGGTAGCGATTTGGTATAATTCAAGTCATAACATGCATTACTGTCTACGACTAGTGCTGCGTCATCTGATCCGGACTTCCTTTCATTTAACCCTAGACGACAGAAAGAAATCCGAATGTGACACAGACTGTTGTTTACTGAACAAAACATCTCCAAATTTGGTATGAATTTAACATGCTATCACTGAAAAAACAAGGTAATAGGTCACAGTTTTTATTTTTACGACAAACTAACGACTGAATTTAAGTTGACTGACAGCTGTTTCTATTGGTTGGTTGGTTACAGCATATCTAGCAAGTCAAACGTGTCTAGTCAGACGAACAGAAGAGTTGGGAAGATACTGACACACCTGAATATTACTTCAGCTTAGTTCACTTTAGATATCAAGACATCAAACCTTATTTTTTAGAGGTAAGGCATCGGATTATGGTTTATAATTAGAGTAATTACAAGTAATTTCAATTAAGAGTAATTACTCTGCAGCTTATAAGCTTTAATATACAAGGGTAACTTTGCCTGATAGAAGTTTCACTTCATTTTACTTCACATTTTATAAAAAAGAGTGCGTAACCAAGGATTAAAATCGCGATAGAATTAACGCCAGGTCTCCAGGTGGTCAGGCTAAATTTATCAGCAGAAACTGAGATCTTGGCACACAGGAGTTTCACACTTTCCTGTGATCAATATTAATCATCGCTTATTTTCACTAAAGATGGCTACTGGATGGTCAAGAATTACAAAAGAAAACACCAACTTTGCTCGACTGTGCAAATTACTCATCGATGGAGGAACGCATGCCCTTAGAGTCATTTTTGATGCCAAACACCCACCTCACGATCTAAAGAAACATTTGATGGACAGCAGGATTCATAATATCTTAAAGAATTTAAAGGTTAAAAAACTTCTACGACCAGAGCAGTGGAACAGACTGTATCCATGTGTAGGATCGGCAACATCTGCAGGTTTTGACATAACTCTTTTAAGTTTACTATTGCGCAATATCTGCAATTTGCCAACACCAGTGAAAGGATGGAACGAAGAGCCTGCTACAGGAAGTGTTAACGTGGAAGATGATGTAGTAAGACTGAGATTATACCGTAATATTCTCTATGGTCACATCTCTGAACCAGCTCTATCAGACGCTGATTTCAACAAGTACTGGAACGACATTGAAACTGTTTTGTTAAGACATGGTGCAAACAAGACAGCCATTGATAGTCTTAAGACACAATCCTTCGAACCAGAAGATGAAGACTACTACATCAAATGCTTAAAAGAATGGATCACTGATGAGGCTGATAGAGTAATCTATGAAGTAAAGGAATCAGAAAAGAGAGTGCTGGAAAAAGTTGAAAATGTAGAGCACAAGCTGGAAAAAGTTGATAATATAGAGCAAAAGCTAAACCAACTAAGTCCAGAGCAACCTTCAAGTCGACAGACAACATCTAATGGTATGACAGTATCATCACTCTTTTCTCAAACAATGCAACCCCGACAAACATTTTAATTTGGTGTATATAAAGAGAATATTACACGTTGATAGAATATTACACGTTGATAGTTTACGTCGAGTGAACATATAACAAATTTGAAGACTGGCTCACAAATTCGTTAAATCTCATATGTGTGTGCAATATGAATTATCGGGTGGGGAGGGGTGTGGGAGTGTTGAGTACATAGTGGGGGCATAAAGTTATTTTACCACGACTCTCGACCAATCAGAAATCAAGAAATTTCACATTTGTATATAGTAAAAATGAATTTCATCTTATGGAGTCATCACACACTTTTATAGATAAATTGCATACTTTGGCGAGCATAATAATTTTTAGATATTTTTGTCACCCGAAGATAAAATCCGTATCTCCTCGCGCCCATGTAGTATCCTCTATTTATTACATGGTTTTAAAGCTAAAACAGCGTAAAAGAGATCGCTAATAGTGTCTAATCTTTTTTTCAGATGTGGAACGTTACTCCAGAAAACAAAAGGAAGCAATAATAACCCAAACGGACGATCTACAACCAAAAGGAATAAACCATGCACCAATGAAGACCGACGATATTTTCACCAATGTGGTTGTTCACCACGGACAGGAAAGATGTTCAGAACAATTTCAAAGCGGACAGCACTCTGTAGGTCGTAAAACGCTGACCGATATCAAGCACTGCGGTGAAATTTCTGTTCAAAGAGACGAAAACCTGACTTTCCTCCAAAATTTTCTGGCAAGAATTCAAATGCGTAAAAAAAAGAATCCTAAGAGAATAATAGTTTCTGGGGAACCAGGAATAGGAAAGACCTTGTTTTCGCAGAAACTTGTTAGAGATTTAGCCAAGAATTCCATATCAATCCCTGACGTCAAGTTCACGTACTTGATTCCCTTCAGATTATTAAACTCACTTGTCGACAAAGACCTCAGTCTCCAAGAGCTGCTTAATCTCTCACCTTTGCTCAACGAAGCCACAATGATAGACGACGCGCTAATGGAATATTTTTCTCGGCATTCAGAGAAATTATTGATTGTCCTGGATGGCTTTGACGAATATAAAAACCGCGACAAAATACTCGCAGATGATGAAGGACCCAATGATAGTAAAGCCAAGATGCCAGTAACAGCACTTGTCAGCAAATTAGTCCGAAAAAAGATCTTCAGCGATTCCGTCATCATGGTAACCTCAAGACCGGGCGAAGCCGGCGAGCTGAACCAAAAACTCCACTTTGATCGCTATGTGGAAATTTTAGGATTCTCAGAACAACAAGTTATTGAATTTGTTGAGAAATATTTCAGTACAAAACCAGAAGAAGTAAAAAACACTGCACTTAGCAAGGTTAAAGAAAGCGAGCACTACATTTCATTTGGTCGCGTCCCTTTCCGTTGTTTATTGATGTGTGTGTACATCGAGTGGAAAATCAAAAAACACGATAATTCATGTCCTCTCACACTTACAGAGTTATATTTCAAAGTAATTCAATGCATAGAAACTAATTATAATAGAGCAATACTCAGTTTAGATGACGAATCCGCTTCGTTGGCTGTTGAAGAAACACTCGATAATTTTTCAAAGTTAGCGGCCCTTTTAGCCGAACAAAATAGATTTAGTTTTACCTTTCAAGACTTAGAAAATCTTAAAGTATCAGAAAAAGAATTATTGTACATAAAATCTAGCAGTCTTATATTTTTTTGTCCTGTTTCAAGTTATAATTCGCCATTTCAAAAGCCAATCAGTGAATATAGCTTCACGCACTTCACCATTCAAGAGTTTTTTGTTGCTCGGTATTTGGTGAAGAAAGGTGTAATGGCGACACACAGAACCTCTGAAATGGTGTACACATTCACGAGTGGTTTGTTAGGTTTAGATGATAATAATGAATTAATGCTAGAACTACTACAATGTCTAGGTAAACAAATGGAAAATGAATACAGGCTAAGACTGGTGTCGTTAAGATGCCTGCACGAGTTTGGTCACGCCAAACGTTTTACAATACAAGTACTAACTGAAAACCTTGCCTACAGATACTGGAATAAAGATGGGTGGATTGGATTACGAGATGTAACCGACACGGACTGTGGTGCAGCAATCGCTATGTTAGTAAAATCCACTGCTACATCAATGACATCACCACCACACATGTTGTACATTAGTTACTCATCCATTACCGAGTTAAATAGTTTGCTTTCATCTCTAAACCGTCCAAACTGCACAATCACTGTACTGGTGCTTGTGGGTTGTGGTTTTAATGATGAACATGTAAAGTGTTTGTGTAAAGATTTAGCAAAGACAAAAATAACCAAGCTACACCTGGGTACTAATCAAATAACTGATGGTGGTGCAGATCACATTATGGAACACTTACCCAGTAACCTCATCTATCTAAACCTGACTAATAATAGAATATCTGCTAAATGTATAAAGAGAAGTAAACAATTCTGTAGGGATATATATCCTGGTGTTACTTTAATCTTATGGTAGATAATTCAATGTTTGTAGAGTTGTAGTGATACAAGTAAACCAAACACAACAAAAATCACGTCTAACTATATATTATTATTTCTTAGTTGCTTTCTTGTTGTCTACAGAACCTGTTGTAGAGAACAAGAAAGCAAAAATACTATGGGTTTTATAGGTAATTAAAATAATTTTATAWTCAATGCGTTGCTCTACAGGCAACCAATGCAAGTTGTAAAGAATACTAGGCGTAATATCATCGCGTTTGCGAGAAAAGGAGCGTAAAGTCGAGCTAGCTATTTTGGAAAACTGAGAAAGACAGGATATTTAAAGAAGTTAGAGTTTAGTTCGGTGACAAATTATGATGTAGTAAATAACTTATATTAACTTAATTCTGTCTTGACTTATTTCAAAGAAAGACTGTATTGTGAAAATGAAATACTTATACCTCAATGGTGGCAGCTGACACACTGTCGTACCTACAGGAAGCCCACGTAAGCGATCCATGATCGTCTAGTTAAATGTAAAACATTCTTGCTTTGCAACTGTAGATTTTACCGGAACATGTGTTTATGTTTAATTKAAAGTCATTTGCAGAAACTTTCATGGGAATTTGAGGAAGACTCCAAAAGAGTTCAGTGCTTCCCTACAGCGCCAAAGGAGAAAGCGCGATCCACTCTTTTTTCTTCTTCTGTTTCCTAACTTGTATCATTGCCAATGTCTACTTTCTCAACCAATAGACATACAGCGTCAGCAAGCACGTGATAGTCCCTCATGTGATTGTACACATGCGCACTAATGCGTACATAGAGACGGCCKTTGATTGGCTTAACTGGAACTTCTATCCCATAATCGTAGTGTAGCAAGTCCTGTATATGGTCAGCAATAGGTTTCGTTGCAATGGTGGTACCAGAATGATTCCAAAGCCTGTCGGGTAGGCGGATTAGTACCATTGGACCGTACATGGAGATTGGGAACAATGTATCAGTTTCCCATCTGTCAGCTAGCATTGTACCTGCATTGTGCGCAAGCTCCGTGATGTACGCACGGATGTTACTTGGCCCAAGCGCTAACCAGAAGTCGAGCGCTGTGGAAAAGTTAGAAACATTGTAAGCTGTTTATCTAAATTCTTGGTACTTCAAATGACAAGAAAAACGATTTTGATATGGAATTTCAAGCTTTTTTTACAATGGCAATTTCTCATTCTTCTTTTCGA